ATGTAAGTGTTCCAAGCACTTTTACTGTAGGTGAGGCAAAGTTATGACATTAAGTAGTTAGGTGTATTAAATGAATTTTCAACTTACAATGGGCTCATTGGGAACATAATCCCATTGTTAAGTGGAGGAAGATCTGGATACGAAATACCTGCAAATGAAACTATCACTCTTGGGGGCGCCTGGGTGGCTCAGTTGGTTAAGCATCCAACTTCAGCTCACGTCATGATCTCATGGTTTGTGAGTTTGAGCCCCACATTGGGCTCTGTCCTGACAGCTCAGAGCCTGGAGAGCCTCAGATTCTGTGTCTCCCTCTCTCTCCGCCCCTTTCCCACTCTCACTCTGTCTCTCTCAAAAATAAAAAAGCACTGGGGCACCTGGGTGGCTTAGTCAGTTAAGCATCCAACTTTGGCTCAGGTCATGATCTCGTGGTTTGTGGGTTCAAGCCCTGCGCTGGGCTCTGTGCTGACAGCTCAGAGCCTGGAGCCTGCTTCGGATTCTGTGTCTCCCTCTCTCTCAGCCCCTCCCCCACTCTCTCTCTCTCAAAAATAAACATTAAAAAAATTTTTTAAATAAATAAAACATTAAAAAATTTTTTTAACTATCACTCTTGTAGTGGTTTGTAATCATGTAAATTTGGAAGGAAAATCCCCAAAGATATTTTTCAACTAAACCATAAATACATTTTAGCAAGGAACAATAAAGAAGATCAATCTCAAGCTAATTTTAAAACTACTAAAAACTGCCATAAAGGTCAGTTTAAGAAGCACCATGAAATGTAAAACTTGGCGGAACTTTGTGTTTTGGGCACAGTCAAATCCACATCTGGCAAAAGGAGGAAACCAAATTAGAGCAAAGTGCCATCACCGAATGACATCGTTCAATGTGCTCAAAGATCTGTTTAAGCAGCTGGCTGAGGAAGCTAACCTGGCTCTTTAACTTCAAGTTGGATAATAATGTTAATAATTTGGTATTTGTTCTACTTATGATAATAACATCTACACGGACATGTCATTTTGCGAAGTGCTTGATGACAGAGTGAGAGTTTTGAGATCTACGAAAAAATTCATGGGCATATATCCAGAAATTGGGCTCAAAAGAAGACAGGCTAAATTGTGGAAAGGTTGTCAGCAGCAAGGCCACCGAGCACCCCAGGAGCCACTTTATCCTTCACAGAACCATTATCTTTTGTCACTGAGTATTTCTTTAACAAATATTTTGAGACAATGAAAAATGTTAATTTATGAATAAATGACTTTCAGTTTTCCATATGACAAAACAGTTTACCTTCTCAGCAGATGACACACCTCTTGAAACTCTTAACTGAAGAACAAAACACTACCCCAGCTATTCAGCAGCCTTCCTGATGGCTGTCTGACCATGTCTCACAAAACAATGGAACAATTCATCCCACTTGAACAGATGTATATGAACCTGAACACTCTTTAACTCAATGCAGTTTTCCAAAAGTGACAATTCTAAAGCATTTTGTCCATTAACTAAGGAAAGTAATAGTAAATACTTTTTTTCCAACAAGGAAGAACATTATATTTAAAATGGACAAATTACAGAAAATATCAAAATTCCCTCATTTTTTTTAAATGTTTATTTAGAGAGAGAGAGAGAGAATGCACACACACCCCTACAAGCAGGAGAGGGGCAGAGAAAAAGAGAAAGAGAGTCCCAAGCAGGCTCCATGCTGTCAGCGCAGAGCCTGATACAGGGCTCGATCACAAGAAACAGGAGATCCTGAGCTGAGCCGAAATCATGACCTGAGCCAAGATCAAAAGTTGAAAGCTTAACCGACTGGGCCACCCAGGCACCCCCAAATTCCCCAATTATTAAGATAACATTTCTTGCAAAGAAATACCATGCTTACAGTTCTATCACTTTGTGACACAGAAACGTCCCCCAGCAATCCCTAACCCCACACATTCCTTCTCCTCTACCTTGGGTGACAAGGAGAACCTTGTTCTCTCTCACAAATATAAGAGAACAAATGTACAGGTATGTTGCTGGCTATAAGTTACTTTTCCTGTAGGCAACAGCACATATACCTTCACCTGTTATGGATCTCTTTTAGTAGTTTACAAGTTATATACCAAGAAATTCTGTATTCATTTATCATTAAAAATGTATTTCAAAAATACAATGTTCTCACATGTACATATCCCCTCCCATGATATTCACAAGTGTTTTACTTGAACTGCATTCTACTAAAGACTCCAGTATAAAAGAGCATTTCATCATCACCAAAAGGAGGAAAAAAGCTATTTGAAAAAAAATGGGCAAAGGTAGTTTCTACTGTTAGATGTTAGGATCGTGATAAACTCTGGGGAGACAGGATGGGATAACAGGGAAGGAATTCCAAGAGGGTCGATCTAGGATGCTGGTAATGTTCACTTCTTGACCAGAGTACAAGTTACATAGATGTGTTCATTTTGTAATAAAGCATCATGCTTTTGACTTCTGTATTTTACTTGCTTACTTGTGTATTTTATTTAAATATGCTCATGTATCAGGTATTTTTCATGTATCACGTATCATAAACTTTAAAATGTATCATGTAACATACACGTAAAAATGAAAAAAAAAATCCTTGAGGAATGAATAAATATGGCTCCTTACAGTTCCATTGTTCCTTAGTATAACATCAGTAGTTCTCGTGACCAAGTCTGAGGAGGGTGACATGGGGCCCCTGGGTGGCTCAGTCGGTTAAGCATCCGACTTCGGCTCAGGTCATGATCTCACGGTTCGTGAGTTTGAGCCCCGTGTCGGGCTTTGTGCTGACAGCTAGCTCAGAGCCTGAAGGCTACTTCAGATTCTGTGTCTCCCTCTCTCTCTGAAACTCTCCTGCTCATGCTGTCTCTCTCTCTCTCTCAGAAATAAATAAAACATTAAAAAATTTTTATTAAAAAAATAATAAATATAAAATAAAAAATGAGGAGGGTGATGTAATTACCTCAAATAGTGCTTATCATCAGCCAAAAAAATCTCAGGGAGGCTCCACACATAAAGTTAGCATTCTACAGTTGCAGAATAGAAGAAAAAGTAAGAAAAATGTATCTAAGTCTAGAATCAAGCTTCAGAACTCACACATTCAGAAAAACAAGTCAATCAGTCGACTAACTGAAAAGGCTTATCCTTTCCTTGACAATTACATACCTACAATTTCAAAAAATGGGATAAAAAAGACTCACAAAGAACACATTTCAATTTAAGCTATTTAATTTTCACTTGTTTTCAAATGTGTACTATATGAATCCAGAGACAGAAGGAAAGAATTCTACTGCCTTCTTTTTTCATTTTCAGAAATATTTTAGAATTTAATTCCAAAAAAAATTATAATAACTGGTGTTTAAAAAAACCAACAGGCCTAAAATGGAGTCACATGTGCTAAGTCCTTATCACCAAACCAAGACTTAACACCGAAACTAATTGCAGTTTCAACCTTCCCCAAGAGTGAAAACTTGACCAATCAGTCTGGAATTTTCCTGGTCAGCAATGGTTAGATAAACTGATAGCCCTTATGTCCCTCCCAAAAATGGTGACTTTGCCTGAAATAATCTATTTTACCCATTTGTGACTTCCTGGCCCTATCCCTTCCTGCCTTTAAAACCCTTTCCTCTTCTGCAGCTCTCTGGAGCTCCTTTGAATTTGCTAGATGGGATGCTGCCTGATTCATGAATCTTTGAATAAAGGCAATTAGATCTTCAGATTTATTCAGCTGAATTTTGTTGTTGTTGGGTTTTTCCCCCCACTGGAAGCAGGCACATTTGAAAGTGCAATCTTCATCTTATCAATGGAAAATCAAAGCACTTTAAAAATAAAATCTTAAGATTTCAGTATTCAAAGATGCCAGTGGGTGAATCAGCACTGTGTGCTATGTGTACCTCCGCTACATCTGCTCCCCTATTACATTTCTCTGACCGAGGTTTCTCAATAAGTTCCTGAGCTCAGAAACTAAGTTAGCTTAAATTCAATGTTTACATAAATCCAGTGAAAATTATTGACTTTAAAGAGATTGTGTTTTATAAGCCCATTTAAAGCACATCTTGCACAAACCAGTATGATGTAAATGATGGCGACATGAAACTGAACACTAAACCCTTGATACAGAAAAGGGCAAGCTAACAAAGGAATGGGCTCACTGTGCAGCCTACCCACAGAACATATTCATTATGCAAGCTTAGCAGCCAGCACATACAATAATTGTTTTAAAAAAGAAATCTTTAGTGATTCTTTCTTCACATATAATAGATTCCTTCTTCCTAAACCTTCATAAGAATGGCAAAAGAAATGACTACTTTCACAACCATCTAAAATATTTGGTTTAAGCTTTAATTTTTTCAAGTCTGATTTCGTTTTCACCAGAAAGTTCCTTTTACTGTTCTTATTCCATAATATGCCTTTGATTCTACTATTGCTTGACCACTTGTCTGATGAGGCTGAGAAAAATCAGACCAATGGAATGCTACAGACCTAAACCTAACTTGCTCTGAATGTTACTGGATATACTCTCCTGTCACAGTCTTTTATGAATATAGCTTTTTCCATTGAAATTATGATCAGGATTTCAGAAAACAAAAAATTATAAAACTTCCTTCAGCAAAAGTAAATAAAACCTCCCTTAGCAACCTCCACATAATTTCCATATAATTCCCTTCCCTAACAACGATGTTAATGTGAACAGTAAACACGTAAAATAGTGTAATTAAATGCTAAATACACAGGGGTAAAGAGCCTAATGCAAACCGTATTATGATAGGATGGATTCTTGTGGCCCTTCATTACTGTTCTTTCCACTTACTAAATTTCATTCTTAATTAAAACTTCTGTATTATATTCCAAGTATACTTTCCTAGTTTTTTAAATAATTTTTTTAAATGTTTTATTTATTTCTGAGAGTGAGAGAGAAACCGCGTGAGCAGGGGAGGGTCAGAGAGAGAGGGAGTCACAGAATCTGAAGCAGGCTCTAGGCTCTGAGCTGGCTGTCAGCACAGAGCCCGACACGGGGCTCGAACCCACATGACCTGAGCAGAAGTCAGACGCTTAACCGACTGAGCCACCCAGGCGCCCCTACTTTTCTGATTTTAAACTGACAACAGAACAATTACTAATGGCCAGGTCCTTATAAATGTCAATATTTTAAATGTTTAGAAACGACACATATAAACCACATCTCATAAATCATACATATTCTTTAAAAATAAGTGTTTAGGGGCGCCTGGGTGGCTTAGTTGGTTAAGCGTCCGACTTTCGCTTAGGTCATGATCTCGCGGTTCGTGGGTTCGAGCCCCGCGTCGGGCTCTGTGCTGACTGCCAGCTCAGAGCCTGGAGCCTGTTTCAGCCTGTGACTCCCTCTCTCTCTGACCCTCCCCTGCTCACGCTGTCTCTCTCTCTCTCCTAAAAATAAATAAAACATTAAAAAAAAAAATAAGTGTTTAAAGGCAAATGGAATGAAGGGAGCTCTTTGTATTACTCAGATCCTAGTGTTTTCAAAATAACCTTAAAATCTTCAACAAATAGTCTTAATACCTATACTAAAAAGAACACTTTTCAAAACGTTAAATTGAAGCTCATCAATTTCAAGAGTCAAGCTTTCCAGAAACCTAAACTTTTAGAATAAATTATTTAGATGTTCCTTCTTACTTTGTTGATGAGTTTCCTTATGCTAAGGAAAAACAGAGGAAACCGGTTGGGAAGCGCCATCTTGTGGGCTTCCTAGGAAATATTTTCACTCTATTCATCAGTAGAGTTCTAGAAGCAAATTATATATATATATATTGAAAGTTTTGTATTATATATATATTCAATTATATATATTCAATACAATACTTTCAATATTTAAAATGTGACTTTAATTTAAATTTAAGTATTCTCTAATGGTTCACTTTCCAGGGTCCAAATACCAATAACTTTAATAAAGTACATTTGGAGATTTGGGATAAGATCTTCCTTCTAAAGCACGTGATATATTTATAACCAAACCACCATATTCTATCTTTACAACAGCCTCAGGAGTTAATGCTGGAGAGATATGTTACACGATAATGAAGCTTGAAAATTTGTATACTAAAGGATTAAAAAAGCATCTAGGCAGTGGAGAACTTAGAATGAGTCTTATGATTTTGTAGTGTAGCAAAGTCATACCACAGTACCTCACAAAATAGAAGCCTTTTGTTGTTCATAAAAACTAAATTGAGAAAGTTATCAAGAATTCTAAAATAAATCTGTGTATGTGCGTGTGTGTGTGTGTATGCACGTGTGCTTAAAGTACTTATGTCTCATAAGTAAAATTTTACAAATTGTGTTAGGAGTTAAGGTACATAGTATATGAAGATGAAAACAGAAACAAAAATATGAAAGACTAATAGGAAAGAAAATGCCCTCAAAGTCATGTTTATATGATTCTCTTTAGACTTCAGAAATAGTGTGATTCTATTAGTTTATATAATATTAAAGAAGAAACATTAATATTCTAAATTTACAAGTGGTCTGGAGTTGCCTTGCCACCAGCCCAAAGATGTGGGGTTTTTTTGCCCCACACAGTGCTTTTTTTTAAAGGCCCAAATTAAATACTAACATTTAAAATTAGGGAATTCCTCAGCATTCCCTATTGTCTGTTACCCATCTGCCCACTGAAGGCATCTGAGTTATGAGCCTGGTTTACATTTTTTTTCCTAACTTCCTTGATTTTTCCTTCAGGGTTCCTTTTCCTGGTACTTGTTTGGTGGGGGAGTGCATGATGACATTCAAGCTCAGGCTTCTGAGAAGCACTGTCGGCTTGACGGTTATTCCCCAATTTTCTACGTGAAAGGTGCATCATCTCAGTTCTGCTATTGGTTCATGATGCAGCAATGCCTGGAGGTCTGCAGAATATTCATCTTTTTAAAACTATGTTCTGAGATGCAAAACTTTGAGAGAGCTTTCTGCTTTGCAAAGGGAATCCCAAACCTATTGCTGGTGTGAAAAACTAAGGAGATTTGCATTATAGGAGGGGGGGAAAAGACCAGTTACTTGGGAGAGACAGGGGAGAACACTACTTTGGTGAAGTCTAAGTTGATTTATGATTTGACAGCATTTTTAATTTCTATAGCCTCCCACATCTGTTTGAACAAAATGAGCCCAGAACATATCATTTTGCTAATGTTGCTAATTATTTTTTCCATCAGCTTTTGACTAAGTGAAAATTATTTCCAAAAAATGTTCCTAATTTTCAAATGCCTCTGTTTTCCTAAGGTCAATTATTATACTTGAAAAACAAGATAAAAGGGAAAAGGTTTTCATTAGGAGAGTGAAATCAGAAGGCACCTTGAGCTGAATGAAGTCTCGCTGCTCCCTCGCTCCCTCCAGTCTTTCCTGACAGAAACAGACAGAGAGAGAGAGAGAAGGAGGCGGGGCGGGGGGGGGGGGGGGGGGGGTGAACTAAGGGACACTAAAAGAGAGCAAGAGCTCCTCGGTCTGGAGACACCGAGAACAGCAGGGGAGGGGACAGCACGACAAAGAGGCCCATGTCCCTCCAGAAAAATTCAGGATGACAGGCCTCTAAGTATTCTGCAAGTCTCCCTTCTGTACAGTGATGTCTCTTTCCTTTTTGCTATTACTGTATTATTAATCCTTCTTGTTCCTTTCTCTTGTTTTAAAATAACTTATCTTTTTTAATTTCAACTAAGAGAATAGACAAGCTGAGAACACTTTCTCATTCAAAGAAAGTAACTGAAAGTGTCCAGTCAACATCTAAATATTATGATGGATTAAAAAAACATGAATGTGTTTTTGTGGCTCTTAGGTTTAACTATATATTTTGCACACATATCTAATGAGCACCCTTAAAGCATTCAAACCTGAGAATATCAACAAATGCCATCCAAAGACTTAAACAGGCAGTATCACCAAAAACAACTTAGTCGATACAGAGGTCAATTTCATCACAACTTTTTCACACTTAAATAAAATACTATTAGCAATATGTGAAATGTCCCATAAACCATTGATTTCATCTTTCTTTCTGGGTTTTGGCACGTTCTGATAAACAATCACTAACATGAGCTTTCAGGTCCACTGCTTTGTGCCTTCTACTCAGCAACTGTAAAGACACTTAAGGAGCCATTTTTTATTTTTATTTTTAAAGTTTATTTATTTTGAGAGACACAGAAACAGAGTGAGTGGTGGAAGGGCACGAGAGAGGCAGACAAGAGAATCCCAAGCAGGCACAGTCAGTACAGAGCCCAACATGGGGCTTGAAACCCCAAAACTGAGATCATGACCAGAGCTGAAGCCAAGAGTAGGACACTTAACCCATGAGCCAACCAGGCGCCCAGATGAGTCATTTTTTAATGGAAGACTAACATACAAAAGTCCTATGAACTTGGCTAACCCACCAAGGTCTAAAAGGGAGGCCCAAACAAGGAAAGGCACTCCTTCACATGTCCTGGCTAACGGCCTGAAAAGGTCTAAGAGAGAAGAGATGATCACACAGGAAGTGCCCATCATTTCTGTTACATTTACCGCTGTCTATCCAGAGGGTGGTTTTCATCTCCGCTGAATGCTGGACACCCAGCAACATTAAAAGGGCCAACGGATGAACCTGGATTAACAAGCCCTGTGTCTGCAGAGCCTGCTTAGTGTTGCTTGTCCTCTGCTTTGCAAGTTGAAAGATGAAGAAGCTTTTTTTTCCAGACTATAAAGATGTATATATCCAGCCAGAATTTAATCAGAAACTTTTCAAGAAAGTTAAGCTGACAGAAGTAACCAATGCCTAAGTAAATGATATGTCTGCCCTTGACATGCAACAATACTGCAGGAATATATATATTTCTTCCTTTAAAGACTCAAGATAATTAGACAATAAAAACAATATGAGAGATTTTGAGATATGTTTACTACTGCTAACCTGATTAACACATTATAAAGTCGTACAAAAATTAATAAATGCTCTATGTTTCTACCCTGGAAATTGCTAAACTACAGAGGTACTGGGGTGCCTGGCTGGCTCAGTCGGTGTAGCATGCAACTCCTGATCTCGGAGTTGTAACGAGCCCCACACTGGGTGCAGAGATTACTTAAAAATAACATCTTTTAAAAAAACAAAAAATAAACTACAACAGTACCATGGTTTAAGAACTATTTTATTCACTTAACAAACACTTTTGAGCACCCACGACATGTGAAGCACTGTGCTAAGCACCGTGAATACAAAATAAGACCATGAATCTTACCTTACAGGCACCATCAGCCTAGAAAGTTACAAAGATAAATAGCTACTGTGAAAGGAACACACTGGCAAATGTCACAGGAGATGTGCAGATAAAATGATAAAGAATTCAGAAGTCAAGGGATTCCTTTTGAATGGGTGCAGGGGGCAGGGGTAGGGACTGAACTACTGGAAAGAAGGGCAGAGAAAGGAACAGATATGGAAGAACTGGCAGGAGCTGGCAGCTGACCGGGTGCAGAGGCAAGGGGAGGGAGGGCGGAAGAAGGAAAGCTAAGCATCTGGAGCTGGGAACGTGTGCTGTCCCGAGTCCACAGGAAATCCTGACAGAGATGTAGAGGGGGCACCAGAGCGGGGCTGGGAATCCCCCACAGGGCGCACTGTTGAAGCCTACGTACCCCCAAGGGAGAAAGGGAGGTCGGGTCTTGAGAAGCAGACATTTTGGGTAGCAAACAGAGGAGACTGAGGAACAGTGAAAGGGAAGAGAAGGAGTAGCAGGAGAACACAACAACGTCTTGAAAGATAAAGGGGGGCGCCTGGGCGGCTTAGTCGGTTAAGCGTCCGACTTTCGCTTAGGTCATGATCTTGCGGTTCTTGGGTTCGAGCCCCGCGTCGGGCTCTGTGCTGACTGCTAGTTCAGAGCCTGGAGTCTGTTTCAGTCTGTGACTCCCTCTCTCTCTGACCCTCCCCTGCTCATGCTCTCTCTCTCTCTCTCTCTCTCTCTCTCCTAGAAATAAATAAAACATTAAAAAAAAAAAAAGAAACAAAGAAAGACAAGAAAAGAAAGTTTCCAGAAAGAGGCAGTCAAAAACAGCAAACGGTGCAGAAAGATCAAATATGAGGACTGAGGGGAAGCCACTG